GAGCCCGGTTCGGGCCTAACGGCTATTTTAAAAAAAAATCAATTGTTTGAACCATCTAGCCGTTGGGAGGCCACCCAAACGGCTCTATAGCCGTTGGAGGGGGGTAGGAGGGGGGGGTCAAGGGGTTCTGGGGGTGGGGGGTGGGGGTGGGGATAAAAAAAAACCTATTTATACTCCTATTTTCTATACATTTTTTACACCTCTTCTCCAACTCTTCCTACTCTCTAATTCTCTATTCCCTCATACTCTTAATCTTAATCATCTCCATCTTCATCTTCTCCAAATCTCTCTACATATATATTATATATATTATTTATATAATTATTATATCTACTTATATATTAATTATCTACTTATATATACATATATTACATTACTAATATTTATTATCTACTTAATATTTATTTATTATCTTCTTAATATTTACTTTGATATCTACTTATCATCTATACTTATTGTTATTTTCTTACATATTAAATTATTAATTATCTACTATACATACATATATTATAATACTTATATTCCTTATCTACTTAATCTCTACCTATTATCTACTTATATATATTAAAGTATTATATATAAGTGTATTACTCATCTTATAGTAATATACTTATATATTATATACTATAAACATTATATTATATTTTAGTTATACAATAATCTACTTATATACCTATATTATATTACTAATATTTATTATCTACTTAATATATACTTATTATCTACTTATACATCTCCATCTTTTTAATATTTAGTTTATTATCTATATTTATTTTTATTTACTTATATATATTAAAGTATTATATATAAGTGTATTACTTATCTTATAGTAATATACTTATATATTATATACTATAATATATTATATACACTATATTATTAGTTATACATTAATCTACTTATATACCTAGATTATACTAGTTATACAAAAAACTAGTTAATAGTTACATTTTTCATTTCCCTATTATTTAATTTGTTAATTGTTGCATTCATTATAAAAGTAAAAAACTAGTTAATTATTAATTGTTGCATTAAAGTAAAAAAAAACTAGTTAATAGTTACATTTTTCATTTCCCTATTATTTAATTTGTTAATTGTTGCATTCATCATAAAAGTAAAAAACTAGTTAATTATTAATTGTTGCATTAAAGTAAAAAAAAACTAGTTAATAGTTACATTTTTCATTTCCTTATTATTTAATTTGTTAATTGTTGCATTCATCATAAAAGTAAAAAACTAGTTAATTATTAATTGTTGCATTAAAGTAAAAAACTGGTTAATAGTTACATTTTTCATTTCCCTATTATTTAATTTGTTAATTGTTGCATTCATCATAAAATTAAAAAACTAGTTAATTATTAATTGTTGCATTAAAGATTTAAAGTAAAAAACTAGTTAATAGTTACATTTTTGGTTTCCCTATTATTTAATTTGTTAATTGTTGCATTGATCATAAAAGTAAAAAAACTAGTTACTCCCTCTGTCCCATTTTATAAGATGTTTTTACTATTCACTTAGTCAACACAAATCACTCTTAATCTCTTACTTTATATATCAAAATTTTATGAAATTTGAATTATTTTTTGCAGGTTTTGTAGCGGTTTTAATGTTGTTTCTGAATATGTAATTCTTTTTTTCTAAAATTTATTTGAGTGCACACAGGGATCTGTTTGCTTTATCGTCGGTCAAACATCGTAAACCGAAAAGTATGATATAATTTGGGACGGAGGGAGTATTTGTTAATTGTTGCATTAAAGTTTAAAACTACTTAATTTTATTAGTAAGTGGATTCTTGGAAATTTGCTATAATTTTATTAGTCGCATTTTATTATTACTATTGTACTCATATTAAAACATTTGATATCATATAATATTTGTTACATTTTAAAGATGGACTGTGGCAGACATTCCGTTGATATGAGTTATCTCCAACGCAACCGAAGGAAGGAGATTGCGACAAGTCATCCTAGTTTACGCAAAGGCAAAGGTAAAGGGCGGGCCGGGTCTTCTTCTCAAAGTCGAGAAGATTTTGATGACGGATACCAAAGCCGAGATGGGGATGCGATGTCCGACGAGCAACTACAACAACTATTGGCGCAAAATGATGGTCGCTTTTTCCAACAACAAAACATCCCGGAATCCATTGATGAAGATGAGCTCGAGGATGACGATGCGGAGGAGGACGAGGGGGGGACTCACGGCACCCCAGATGATGAGCAAGAGTTGGAGGACGAGGGCGGTCCATCCCAAGTTGGTAAGAAATCTAAATCTCCTATTATAGAAAATAATTTTACAAAGAGGGAAAGACCCAACAATTGATAAATAGTACGCAAGTTGCGATCATTGCAAGGAGTATAGCTCGGGAACTTCCGGCGGATACGGGAGCCTCAAAAGGCATCTTAAGTCCGCGCACTCTGTGGAGTATGCGAAAATAGACAAAGGCAAGGGGAAGCAAACTCAAATATCGAGGTTTGCAAATGACCAACCTTTTGGTAATTTCTCATACAATGATGCACGAAATTTGACTGGTATGGCTAACTTACTTGTTGAAGAAAATTTGCCTTATTTGTTTTCTGAAAATCTTGCTTTTAAAGATTATGCACAAACTTGTTTATATCCTCAATTTAGAAGTTATAGTCGCAAAACGGTTAAGAAAGAAATTATAAGGCTTTATCGTGCAGAAAAGGATAGGTTACAAATTTTTTTTGCTAACTTTGATGGCCGTGTAACTATTTGTTCTGACATTTGGGAGGATACTTATCATAATTTACATTATTTGGGCCTGACTGCACATTTTATTGATAATGATTGGAATTTGCATAAACGTGTTCTTGCTTTTCGTGAATTTAATGATCGTCACACCGCTGAACATATTTATATTTTGATTGAACGTATTTTAACTGAGTATAATTTGATTGATAAGGTGTTTGTTATAGGTTTTGATAATGCTACTAATAATACTGCTGCTATACCTAGATTGCGTGAATTGTGTGGTTCTAATACTTTGATGGGTAGATTTTTTCATCAACGATGTGCATGCCATATTATAAATTTATGTGTGCAAGACGGTCTAAAAGCGTTAGGAGATGCTATGGAGGTAGTCAAGGGGGGGATTAAACGTATTTGGGGCAATGGTCAACTTAAACTAAAATGGCAAAATTATTTGATTGAAAGAGGTGTGAAATATGTTGCTTTTCCTAAAGATTTGTCTATTCAGGGGAATAGTACTTATAAATTAATTAAATTTCTTCTTAGATACAAAGAACATTTTCCTGCTTTTTTAAGACAATATGATAACTATATTTTAAACCCCGCTCACATCGACACTTGCGAAAAAATTTGTAATGTTTTGGTCCATTTTAATAATGCAACTATAGTTTTAGTCATGTTTATAAACCTACCTCAAACGAATTTATTCGTTAAGTTGTTAATCTCGCCAGTGCTTTTAATGAATTTGAGAATGCCGCTTACGTGAGTTATTTTTGTTGTTTTATGAAGGAAAAGTTTTTAAAATATTATGCACATATTCCGCATGTTTATGGTATTGCATTTATTCTCGATCCTCGTTATAGACTTAGTAATTTGGAAGAATGTTTGAAGTTCTATTATAATGTTTTTTTGGTCCATTTCCAATGTATGATGATAACGCCATAGATCCGCAAGTTGAATACAACGAGGTTAGTAATTTATTTTATGCCTTATTTAATGAGTTTCGTGCACAATACGGCAACGCGCCCCCTCCCCCGACACACACATCTTCATCTAAAGGAAAATCACTTTTTAAATCTGCTTTTGGCAATCTTATGAAAAAACCTAAAACAACTCACACTACTGAACAAAGCGCACTTAATGAGATTTCTTTGTATATAAATTATGAGGTAGAATTTGACGAAAATGAGGAGTTTGACGTTCTAAAGTGGTGAAAGTCAAAAGAAAAAATGTTCCCGATTTTGGCACGGATGGCTAAGCAAGTGCTACCAATGCCGGTTTAAACAGTTGTCGTGGAACAAGAATTTAGTTCGGCCGGCAACGTTCTAACGGCATCTAGAACGAGTTTGAGCGCTGAGTCTCTTGAGACGCTTATATGCTACCACGATTGGTTGAAGGTCATACGTAGATGTCAAGAAATTAGCATCACCTCCTCCCAAGACTTTATGGATGAATCAACAACCGAGGGTGGCTCCTATGCCAGAGATTCCGATTGATTAGTATTTTACAATTTATTATTAAATGTATTTCATGTTTTAATTTTTCCCTCAATTCTCTATTGTAATTTGTAAAGTTGTAGTTCATATTTCAATTTTCAAATAAATATACATTATTATTTTTATATCTAGCACTTCCCAAATTAATTAATTAATTAGTTGGTTACAAACTTACAACTTCGAATTTATTGTATTAGCATTTTTTGAAAAATGTATTTCATATTTAAATTGTAAAACAAAGAGAGAGAAATTGCCTAGGCCCGACCCGACCCGGCGGGTGACCCGGCCCGAACCGGAACCAGGTGAAGGACGGGCCGGTTCCGGGCCCCCCATTCCAGGACCAGAGGCCCGACCGGGCCTAGGCCCGGCCCGGGCCCGAACCGGCCCAAGTCCAGGACTAGGCCGGACCGAACCACCACTGTGCGGGACCAGGCCTTTGACCCGGCCCAAGGGTGTTTTGGGGGCGGGCTCAGGCTGTAGTCCCCTTGGAACCGGTCCGGCCGGTCTAGGCCCAATTTATTTTTTGGGTTTTTTCTGACTGGTTTGGATAAGAGGCGGGTTGGGCTGGGTGGTTTGGGGGTCTTTGGGGGGTGAGAGGGGTTAGAATTAATAAGCAAAAAAAAAAAAAAAAAATAGTACCTGACCCGACCCGGTCCCAACCCTGTCCCGGAACATATCCTAGCCGGTCCCGGGCCTCCACTTCCCAAACCCGGACCCGCCCTAAGCCCGACCCGGGACCAGTCCATCCCTAATATTACCAACATAGAAATCAAAGTTATGTCAATCAAGCATTGCACCGTAGCCAGAGGCCAATTAATAAATACCTAAATCATATAAAGCCCATTTAATCAGATAGTAGTAATATAAAACTTTCGAGCTTTAGACGCGACTCGTCACAACTTCACAAGCAAAGAAGCTTCGCAGAAATTGGTGGGACACCCCCTACGGCTATTGCTCCCACCAGCACTTGCATGAATGGACGGGGCGTTCTCAACCGTACCACTGATGCTGTGAAGGGTGGTGGAATTAACAAACTTTGCATCTAAACATACAGTAGCAGAAGAAGTGATAAATAGCCATAAAGCACATCAAAAGCTAAATCCAATGGGAGCTAGTATTCAAATATATAACATAATATAAATAGAAAGGGCATAATATATCTACCCAGTGTGTAGTAGTCTCACAAGTCTTAGACGAGGTCAATACATAACCAACCAAAACAGTAGTAGTTTCTTTTATCACACTCCAGCAAGTATCATGGGAGGAGGTGCATAAAGATCTTATCTGGGAGGAGGGGGAACCTGCGATTTTGCAAATCCAACCCATGTAACAATACCAACAGCAAGTATAACCCATCCAAATATATCATACTTCAAATCACTGCTCTTCTTCTTCTTTGAACTCTGCCATAAATTAAAGATCATTATAAAACATTTATTAATCATGTACAGATTTTTCCATCATTTGCAATGGAGCCAAAGATTCATTATTTTTTGGCTTGAGAATACGATGGAATAAAGCAATATGGCTCACTAAACTGTCTGCGCTTCTTTGTTATGAAGTAACAGTCAGCCCATGCAATTTTGGACGCAATTTTCACTATGGGTAAATGAAAATGATGAATTAATCATGTACAGAGATGATTACTATGGGAGCCTTTGCGGCACTGGGGTAAATGAAAATGATGAATTAATCATGTACAGAGATGATTACAAATATTCTGCAGTAGGAAATGAAAACAAAAGGCATGCCCTTTTTTACTCGTACACACACAAGGGATACTCGCTAGTAGGTTAAACATTATTATAAACATTTTAGAACATTTAAAGAGAGGAGACACTAATGGTCTTTTTTGTAGGGGGACCACATAGCATCAAACTCAACGTTCCTAGACACTATACACCAGAAGTACTCACCATCATTTATTGCAGGGTCATATGAATGAAGAGTGATACAAGGGAAATATGTATTTTTGTTAAAAAGTAAAATAAAAACCTTAGTAGTTGTAGATGCAGAAGGCCCTGCCCCCATAGCGTGTTGCATTGAACCATGCTTGTGGATCTCAGTGTGCAATTCCGGAGCCTACATACCAAAAAGTCAAATAAGCTATACTCTGTGCTAATACATTTATTGGGGCAATGGGGGCAAAACTCACATTGCAATACTGTTCACTTTACTTAAACCTAACCATAGTAAAAAGTCCATATACAACAACAACATTACCCCTGTGAAGCAAAGGCTCCCACCTACGGGGGTGGGGGGTGTATGCAGCTTTACCACTATTCTAAAGCATAGTAAAAATTCCATGTGTTGCGCATGATTTGTCTTCGACAAAATGGACATTTGAATAATTACTACAAGCAAAAACCATACATAATTTCTTTTTATTGTTTCAATAACTTTGAAAACCAAAACAAAACAATATCAAAGACACAATGAAAGTATACTCATCAAGGGTGAGGGGAAAAGAAACCTGCTACGATGAGATGAATAGAGAGTAAAGGAGAGAGTAAAGGAGAGAAAACTGTCAAATAAGCCCTCCTACTAAATTGACAACGGCAATTAAGTCCTCGTACTAAAAAACCTTTAAACTCAAACTTTAAAAATGTTCAACTAATCTATTTAGCAAGTGTCCAACAAGTAGCCGGTAATGTATGCCGAAGTGTCAATTCTTCGCCTTTCCTTTTTCTATCTTTATTGTTTTTCTATTTCCATTTTACTTTCCGTCATATTCCTTCAAAGCAAGGTTCAAAATTGCGTATTGCGTCTTTGAGGCGGTTTCATAGCATTGCCTATTGTATAAGCTTCATTGCGCAATGAGGTGTAAGCCACAACTTTTAAATACATTTATTTAAAAAAAGTACAACCAATGTAATTAATCTAAAGTAAAAGGATGATTAAAAGTTAACCAATGTCCTGATGAAAACAACAAAATTGAGATCATCAACCATCCAAAAATATGTTCGAACATAATTCAAAACAGATATTTCCTAATAAAGAAGCTAATAAAATACTATGTGTATAAGTGTGTAACTTACAAATAACATAATAAACAAAATAATATGCATCCACTATGTATTAAGATATTTTCTGCGGACTAGAAGGTGTATAAGTAACAAAAAAACTAATACTCTTTAAAATGATATCATATTCATCCACTAACTAACAAATAAACTAATAAAGTACTCAGTAATATAATTCTATCTAATAAAATACTATCTAATACGTAGTACAATAATCATCCACTAACTAACAAAAAAGTTAATAAAATAATACTTCCTCCGTCTCATAATAGATGCAACATGAGTTTTGGCACAGGATTTAAGAAAAGTAAATAAAGTGATTTTCTTCCTATTATACCCTTCAGTACTCCGCGTTGGGTTGTAGCAGCCTAGCAGGCTAGCTAAAGATTATAGACATATCACTGTACAAAAACGGTACTGCTTTTCATATTACAAATACTACTCTGTATTACCGAATACTTTCAAATCGGTAAACCTCAAATCAGAAAACCTTCTCTCCGGCGTCCAACCTTGAAATCCAAAGATGCGATGGTAAACCTCCCCTCCGGCGGCAGCACTAGTGTCGGCCTTTTGTTAATTGATGTTGAATGGCTTGTCTCTCTTGAAGCAAGAATGTGAGGAGTATCTGGAAGCAGTAACCCTGCATCTTCCATGGTTGAATATCGAGGGGAACAAAAATGAAAACTAAATTAATTTGTGGGAAAAGCTCGGGATCTCTCCGAATCTGCCTCGTTGAAAACTAAATTATTTTGGGATAGTGAAGGCTAAAGGAGTAAATAAGGTATGGGCATGTTAGATTATTAAAACACATGGTGTATATACGGAGGAAGATAACTAAAGGCTGGGGGTGGATGGCAACTGGCAAGAAATTAAGGAAAGAATGGGAGATCGGTGGTGGGAGAGAGAAATTAGAAAAGGTATGTATGAAATCATTAGAGGCATTATAGACATTATATTTATTTTGTTTGCCAAAAATGGAAGTGTTGCAAATAATTTGAAACTGCCAAAAAGGGGAAAATGTTGCAATTATTTAGAGACGGAGGATAGTATAATATTAATCCACTATCTAACAAAGAAGCTAATAAAGTAATATAAAATTCATCCACTAAGCTAAAATCTCTTCTAAGTGGAGTACTTATTATTCTGCCCAGTGTCCACTACCACCTATATCAATTATAAATAAATAAATAAAATACATAACCAAACCATACATGACGAAAAGAAGGACGAAAGCACACAGACGATTGTAGAAGATAAAGGTCGGTACTCACAGACGATGATATGTATTTTTAAAATAAAATTAGTTTGGGGGATTTGGGCTGCAGCAGTTGGCCTGTTGTTTGTGGCGCGCCTCAACATCCGCTATATAGCGTACGCAATTATCATACACCTTAGCAAAAAAGGTGCATACTTCTTAATTGCCTATTTGCGTTTAAGCCTTGCAACTTGAAAACCCCAAAAGTTGTAAAGCGCGCCTTATTGCTTAAAGGCGTTGCGCAGTTTTAAACATTGCTTCAAAGGAATCTTTAAATACAGCCCAATGGACCAGACTCTTGAGTTTCTATCTCTATCACTGACTTGATCAAAAGGTACTAATGGAGGATGAGGAAATAAAAGAGAGGCGGAGGTCGTACTTTGGTACATTATTCAATGGGATTCAAGCGCAAAATATTGATGATCTTACTAAACCTAATCGCACGGTAAATTGGGATTAATGAGAAGGATCCAAATAATATAAGTTAAAGAGACTCTAAGAAAGACGAGGCGGAAGAAAGCACTGGGTCCAAATGGCACACCAATCATCTATGAAGAAGTTTGGGGGAAGAGGGGTCGAGTGGTTAATACATTTCTTGAACAAGGTTTGGAGAAACAACATAATACCAACAAATTGGTGGAAGAGTACTTTTATCCCTTATTTAAGAAGGGTGATGTACAAGAACAATGCGTCTACTATCGAGGGATTAAACTTATGAGTCACAACATGAAACTTTGAGAGAGAGTGATTGAGCAAAGGCTCGAATGAAGTGTGAAAACTTGAATACAATGTGTAGAGGATCGAGTGATACGATGGTTTGGTCAGATGTGTAGAAGATCCAGTGATACACCAATTAGACAAATTGAAAGATGGGGAGATGAGGCACAGGGTAGGGGGAGAGGATGAACCAAACACGCATGGATTATAGTATGACTTTGAACATAGCAGAGTGGAGGGAGAATAAAGGTGTGGAGGAATGATTTCTTTTTTATTTTTTAAATCTAATTGCATATGTCGAATCATGTTAGCTGACTCCAAACTCCTTTGGGTTTAAGACTTGGATCTTGTATTATTATTACTATTTATTATTTATAACCCTAATGCCATATGTCAATTCATGTTAGTCAATCCCAGACTTTTTTATATTAAGGCATGGATCTTTTTTATATTAAGGCCGTGAGTTTCTACAGGACCTAAATGGAATCCTAGAAAACCTTATGCAAGGTATCGGTGGTTGGCCTCTCCCGCTTAAAACCCTTTACTAACAATGCTACCGCCAAATTGACAAACTTATGAGCCATCTCTTCGAAGACATACATTGGATTGGAGAGTCAAAACTGAAGACCGATATCCAATATGTGGTGTTAGCATGTTTGAGCTTGAAGACCAGCATTGAAAACTTGCCGGTGACAGATGAACTTTAAAAGCTTCTTCATCTTCTCGCCGGCATTTGTAAGGGTGTTCTTCATACCATACTCATCTGCTACCTTTATCTTATCCATGCCGAAAGATTAAAAATACTACATAGTGAGTATATGGAATCGAAAAATTAAAAAGAGCTCCACATGGACCCAAACAAGCCTTACCGGAACAACTGGTAGAAGATTGTCTCATCATCATCATCATTTAGCACAACTATCCCCACCACCCACGATGACCAGGCGCCCTCAAAAGCTAATCACTACAAAACCACCCCAGCCAGCCCAGCCAGCCCAGTGACAGGTGACTCACCCACACCACCATTGTATCCCCGTCTCCTCGATCCTCACACCCAAGCTGCCCCACCACTCTCCAACTACGCATCGCAACTTCCCCAGCCCTAGTGAGATCCCGAAACCCTAATTACTCAACCCCGGCACACGGGTGACCACGACACTTGACCCCAATGACAACGGGCACCACTTGACACCCCAACATCTTAGTGACACCCCAGCCCCGACACCCTAGTAACACACCGCCACCAGTGATCTGCCACCCACAGCAACCTCCCGCCACCAGTGACCAGCTTACCTATTAGCATTTAGCACAACTATCCCCACCACTCACGATGACCAGGTGCCCTCACCAGCCAATCACTACAAAACCACCCCAGCCAACCCAGTGACAGGCACCCGCACTGCCATTGTATCCCTCATCTCCTCACTCCTCACATCCCAGCTGCACCCACCCCTCCCCAGCTACCGCTGCAACTTCCCCATCCCAAACCCCACACCGCCATTGCCCCACCCATGTCCCTACCCCTTTCCCCACCCCCGCCCGCTCAAACCCTTTGTCCTGCTTCCCATCCCCCACGCCGCCACTGTCCTACCCCTGCCACTGCATCCCTAACCACAGCACCCCACTCGACAACCCTAGCCAACCTCATACCACAATCCTATCTACGGTGCCCTAGCCCCCAGTGACATGCCACCACCCAATGCCTCCCCCACCATTGCTCCTCACTCCCCAACCTGCACGCCCTTTCCCATTCCCACCCTCTGCCCCCAAGCCCCTGAAGGCATAGTTGTCGCTCCACACTGATATCCTACCTATCACCAGCTACCCCATTTCAAATCATATCCATTACCAGCCACCCCATTTCAAATCATAGCCACCACCAGATCTGAAAGCTAGATGCCACCGCTGCTGATGTAAAATAGCTTACCTAAATCTGTCACCAATCTGAAGCGAGCATATCCAGACGAACTAAAGATGACGACAAGGAAAATCCAGGGATGAAACGACAAAGAATGGCAGTGACGAAATTTGAGTTGGTTAAAGGTGGCAACTTTCTCTTGGAATCAATCTCTATGTGGTGGAGGCCATATCTGAGAAGGGGTGCGGCGGTGGCTCGCTACTGGCATCACTTTTTTCAGGCGACAGAAATGCAGTGATGCAGACAGATGGGAGCAGGAGCTAGAAGATGCAGACGGGTTGTGAGAAGATGCAAAGATGCGGAAATGGACAAAGATGCAGTAACAGAGAAGGGGCCATGGCTTAAGGTATATTTAGACATTTCAATTAATTTTAATCACTTATTTTTCTACACAAAAATTGGACTTATTTCTGTCCACTCAAAAGCTGGTAATTCTACTCTAGATATCTTTTTGAATGGGATCATTTTCCAAGAGGAAAAGATAAATAAATAGTATTTACATATGTAAGTTCTACCTACATTCATCCACCCATCCATAAAATACCTGCAACGCAGATGTGCACACGCAAACTAATACACACATACATACATACAAATGTATGCAGACACACATAAACAATGGATATTTCCGAAGCAGGTCTGTGGGGCACACAATAAGAAACTGTTAGGTTATGCATAGATGGATGTTTTTGGAGGGGCTAATTTACATCTTCATACATAGAATGTTTCTAAAAACGAATAAATGGCGATTGGTATGTGTACACATATTATGGTATTCCTTCAATTCTTATAACATCCCATATATATATTATATATATATATATATAAAGATGCACAAAAAAATATTTAAAGATACACTGATACACGGATGCCCCGCAAAACCCAACAGATATCAAATCATTTCTTGAAACTTTAGAAAGAAGCTCACTAATTGCTCTTTTATCATGTGCCCATGAGGCCATGAGCATAAATTAGGAAAACCCGAGTTTTAAAAAGGCTAGTTCGGGTCTCGAGGCGGTTTGTTTGAGAGAGGCGAGGCGTAAGCCTTGAGGCGTATTGAGGCGTAAGCCTCAAAACTTACCAAGTTACCAACAAATAAAACTTAAGATAGTGAAACTAGTAATAACCAACTAATCAAGCATAGATATGCATAGTAAAACTCCAAAAAGTCTCAAACACAAACACATATATGATCACATAGTCAAACACGATGACTCAAAATGAGGATTCAAACACAAAACAGGCACATCACATAGATGACAATTTGAAACTCTTGAAGCTCAATCATCATGACTGAAGGGTCTTCGGAAAACTATTATATATTTATATCTTATAGCCTTTTCACCGTCATCCCTTTATCATCACTATCATAATCCTTAAGTTCTTTCTCTTCTTCATCATCATTTACCTCCACTACTTATATATTTTTCTTATTTTTTCCTTAGTTAACCATCTGCTTCTTTGTGCAGAAGTATGAATAAGTTTTAACGACGCGCAGAACGCTTAATAGGGAGTATATGTTAATTTAAATGAAACAAGACTTCTTTGGGTTTAGTGTAGACACGTGTTGCATGTATGGGCCTTTTATTAAATAAAAACACTGCCTTTTTAAGCTACAACCACATTAGTGAGATAGAAGAAAAAGAAAAAACGCCTCAGAAAAAAACGCCTTAATGCACGCCTCAGGGCGAACGCCTTGAACTTTGAGGCGTAAGCCTCTTGTCCTGCAAAAAATACTTAAGCCTCAAAACCTTCTTTGTACGCCTCACCTTGATGAGCCGAGCCTCAAAACCTGCCTCTTAAACGCCTTTTTAAACCATGGGAAAATCTATGAATAATTATAAACACGAATGTCAATGGCGCATATGGCGCCCGCCATATGCGCCATGTGACGATACAAAGTCTTCTAGCCACAAAAAAAAAAAAAACTCCTGGTGATGACTCTACGTGTGGCAGCGCCATATTGGCGCCCTCATCTTGCCGCGTGAGCCATATTTTTAAACAGGTTTTAGGAGGTTTACTTACTCACTTTTGGATTTTCCTGTGATATTTAATTAATTACCCAATGATCACATAATATTAATAAAAACCCTAATAAGAAGTAAATAAAGACCAACTAACTAAATCAGAAAAAGTTGTTCAACTAACAAAAGGCTAGTGGCTCAAAGTCAGAAAGCTGTGCAAGAGGGTAACAACTGAAGGACAACAACAACACAACAATTGCAAGGCAAAGATGAAACTGATGAGATTGAAGATCTTTCTGAGAGTGAAACGAATGAGGATGATGTTCCATTTTTATCAGACTCAGATAATGATGAATGTGATTATTGATGATGATTATATCATAAACATCAAAAACAAACAAATTGCCATGTTTTGGATGGCATGAAACTTTTTTGGGCATCAAGTTGTTTTTAAAAACTACTTCAAACAGTTTTAACTTCACATATTTTGGTTAGAATGTGAGCATTCAACTTCTTTGCTCATCTTTCAATTATTGAATCATAGATTTATAGTGTCTATAATTCATATTTTTTAGTATTTATTTTTTGTGTCATGTGGCAACACCATAAATGCGTCATCACCATGGACAAACTCCTTGGCACCATGAATGCCGTGACTCGTGATACGCCATGAAAGCTATAATTATAAATTATTATTGTGGTGGGAGTAAGGTAATGCTGAAGCATGCTACATTGTGTTTTAAAACATAAAAGAGTGGATTGTTTCTGTTGCATAAAATGTTTAATCTTGAAAACATTATCAGTAAGGCAAGATTAAAAATGAAAATGAAACTTTCTCTCTCTATTATGTTTGCAAAATTCTGAAATAAAAATAAATATTACTCCATAATAAATAGCCAATGCAAGTGAATCCTTCAAGGTTGAGAAACAAAAGAACCTTGCTAGATAGAGTATCTTCTAGTACCAACGAAACCATGAAAAAGTAAGGTGGGAAGATTTTTTCTAGTTGAACTATAATATCAAAATTGCAAAGAGAAACAAAAAATGGCAAAAGTTTGATGTTGGATGTCATACCTTGGCTGCAACTTCCAAAGATTTGCGGTAAAGATCATTCCCAGGATCCTGTAGAATTTATAAATATAAAAATAAATAGCAGCTGTAAGTCAATCCCGTGTTTTTATTGATTAAATAAACGCAACTCCTTTTGGGGGCTTAGAGAAAATACCGCATCCACTGCTCGTTCAAAACATTGGGTTGCTTTGTCAAAATAAACCTTGGCTTCTTCTTGATCAGGAGTCAAGAATGCATGAGATGTGTGTGCGTTTCCCAGACACCACAGGGCATCATGTTTTTGCGGATTGATGAATATTGCCTCATCCAACTTTGAAATACAGTCTACAACATTAATAACATGACTAATATACTTAGTTCCAAGAATAATGAATACATGGAGTTTCATAAAGGTTTCTTGTAAACGCTTTTCTAAAAGCAGAAACCCCATCTCTAAGAGTTTCCCTGGCATCGTAGCAAATATGTGTGTGTGTGAGAGAGATAAAAAAAAAAGTTCACCACATTTTTTGGCACAGGCAAAAAGTTCACGACATTTACCGGCCTTTTCCTATGTTAAACAGAGAAACGATTTGTACAGGTTAGCTGTGGTTATAGTTGCCCGGATTAGAACCACTCAGGCAGGCAATCACATCTCTCTATATCCCTTATTTGTGCACTAAAAATTGTTCTTTATTTTAAAATCTGCATTAATAGTTCTTCCACTTCAGCACAAAAGTTCCACAAGTCATAACCAATACCGATAATCATCTGTTTTGATTCGGGAACCGGCTGAAATTGAGACAGCTCAAGTAACGCACCACCCCATCTAGTCAAATTCTGCAAAGAGTTTATCAAAATGAACAATAAAAGTCAAACTTCCAGCAGAAGGCAGCAATGAAATTTGAAATTCAGAAATTTGTTTCGTCTGCAAAGAGAAAAAGAACACTGGAGGCGCGGAGGGAGCACATACATCAACGTCGAGAGGATTCTTCTCGTATGCGGTCTCAGCAGTCTTGCGAGCGTGCTCGAAGAAGAGGAGACGATCGAATTCGCTACCTTCCATGTCGACTGAAAGAAACAATTTCCTTAGAATCGCCCTTTATGCTAGGGCTTCTGCTAGTGTAGTGGTAGCGGAGGTGGCTCCTTTGTGTCTACTTATATTTTTTCCACACTCCTTAGGCTACTTAAATAAAAACATTTTTTGGAAAAAAAATATTAGTAGTAAAAGTTGGTAATATTTGGTAAAATAAGTGTTTTTTGTGTAATACTCCGTAGATTAAGTAAAAAGTAGATTCTACACGAAAACCGAGAAAGTAAAAGTTGATAGTTTTTGGTAAAATAAGTGATTTTTTCTTTAAAAAAAAAAAAGTCACAATCACTTATTTTAAGTGATTTCAAACAGAGCCTTAATTCCGTATGCACTTCAGGAATAATAAAACTTGTGTTTTTATTCTTTATTTTTTGGGAAAACTATCAAATAAGTCCTCGTATTATGCTGAAAAAGTCGATTAGACCCTCCTACTTTACAAACACTCAATTAAGTCATCGAACTATTAAAAAACGTTCAATTAAGCCCTTTCGGTCGGAAAGTAACTGATTTCTTGGTTAAGCGGCGACGATGTGCTCGAACCCCAGCAACGGCGGCTGCCGGGAAACGGGTTACATTTAACCGGGAAACCGGTTACTTACCGACCGAAAGGGCTTAATTGGACTTTTTTTAATATTTTGAGGACTTAATTGAGTGTTTGTAAAGTACGAAAGCCTAATCGACTTTTTCGGTATAGTACGAGGGCTTATTTGATAGTTTCTCCTTATTTTTTTAGGTTTGAAAGCCTAAAACTTCCTCATGGAGTTTGGAATTCAATACCTTACCTAAGATAGTGTGAGGTCACCTGTCAATTGAGCTGGGAGGCTTCCTCAAAGTGATATGTATACATTTATTTTAAAAAAAATTGATATTTCTAACACATTTATGAATGTCAAATAGGCACTTCTAGTATATTCAAGAAACCGCTTAAGTTTTTGAACAAAGTAAAGTAATAAACATCCAGTTAGGCTCACGAACTTTAGAAAAACACGCAAGTGTGTGATTTAGCATGTTGCCAACCAGTTAGGCGGTTAGAATGCCGACATGACCAGCTCATGTGTCAGATTTCACTGTTTTGCTTTATTCATTTTCCTGTTCTTTTTTCACTTCTTTCTTTCTTCCACCCACTCCACCTTCTAACCCCTTCTTTCTTCTTCACCATGACTGCTCCACCCTTTTGTGCGTAAGATTTTTTCCTTCCACCTTCTCTCCAGAAAACTCTCCTTTTGGCCATCAACTAGTCTTAATGGGCTGTCCAAGAGCGTTGTTGGAAAGCTCCCACCTCAAATGACATGGTCACAATGAATGGGGGGCGGAGAAGACCACATTTGTCTCCCTTGAAGCCATTGATTAGCAATGAGGGCTTCAATTGCAGTGTCGTCGTCACATGTTGGGCCCTCGGCCACCATTGTGTGTTGAGGGGAGAGAGGATAATCAAGATACCTTATGCGCGTTGAGGCGACGAAGAGAAGTGATGAGCCCTTGGTTATAGTCGTCGCTGAAGTGGCACTCGTGTTGCTGGTGAAGAAAAGGGTACTTTAACCTCACGCAGACCTCGAGCAGCGCCCCCCAGTGTTGTCAGGGAACTGTGACCTCAAGAAGCGCCACCCAGTGGATTCCACTGACGACCATCGTGGATAGACCGGGAGTGAGGTGGGCGGCTCTTTGACGGAGGGGGGCAAAACTCATACTCCAGAAAGTCTCAAGCGTCCATTAATGGTGAACCACGTGAGATCTGAGATGAACTGAAACCTTGTTTAACGCTAGGAGAACCAGATTAGCAGAAACAGGTGACTTGGGGTGGACGGTGATGGAGCCAAAGAAGAAGGGGAAATGGGGAGAGAAGGTCGTGCAGAAAGAAAGGACAACACCGAGAAAAATGGGTCACGTTGCCACAACTGAAGACTAAAGACAAGAAGGAATAGAAAAAAAAAAAGAAAAAATGGTGAAATCCAACACGTGGACTAGCCACGTATGCATACTAACCGGTTGACCGGTTGTTAACCGGATAAATTACATAATTGACTGTTTTTCTAAAGTTCATGGGTCTAATTGGGTGTTTCTTTAGTTCAAGGGGCTTGATTGACTCTTTAGATATACTATGAGTGTCCATTTGACAATTTTCTCTTTATAAAACAAAATTGATGTATTCAATGATATTGAAAATTTCTGGTCCGATCTGATCTCTTTTGATCTGGTCTGCTTGTTTAAGTTTGGTATAGTCTGAACTGGTCTGACCTAGTCTGATAGATGTCTGGTCTTTGAATAGTTTACAACTATCAAAGTCTAGTATGTTCTATTCTGTTTAAGTCTAATCTGATTTGTTTAAGTCTCGTTTGAGCCTAAAATTGATCCAAGTAAAAACAATTTTATAACAAAATCGGAAAAACACACCAATGTTAGTAAAACTCAACGCTTTTCTTAAAAATACGACTATACATGTTTTTGCAAGTATTATATGACCAAACACATACATGGACAGTTACCATACTTAATTAATTCCTTATTCATATAGTCGTTACCACCCATGCTGCATGGCATTAGAACGTCACATTGGGAATAAAATTAGTGGACTCATATATTGGGGAATACATATTGTTTTAGTCATATTAGTGATAATTACCTCTAATGAAAAATGATAATTAGAATGTTTTTAATTGGAATGGAATTTTCAGGTCTGATTTGGTCTGGTCTGAATTGATCTAGTCTAGTCTGGTGAGTGTCTGGTCTCTATGAATTTTATAATTGTCCAACTCTAGTCTGGTTTGGCCCGGGACTAAAAACAGCCCGAGTAGAAACATCATTAGATGCTTTTAAATGTACTATTTAGATCCTCGGGCTAGATTATACTAGATCAAATTTAAACCAACCAGTTCAAATCGGACGAGCTTTTGATAGTTGTAAATGCACATGAAATAAACATCTAACCGACTAGCTCATAACAGACTTAAACAGACCAAATCGGTCCCGACCAGAATTAAATAGACCAAACAAGACCCGACTTGGTCATGAAAATATTACTCCGTATAATTTAAAGCATTCCAACTATAACTTCCTTAACAAATAATATTGCCTAGAGCTGAATATTGAAGTGTTGAATTTGAACTTCTGGCTGAATGAAATAGATCCATTTAGCCATGTTTGTAAAACAACAAGGGTAACAAATACTTAGCAAATACTCAGTTTTTTAGCATCAAAGACAAAAATAGATAAAACGCATGTAGGTGGGAAGGATGTGTACCTTTCGGAAGGGCGTGTTACTGGGCTTTCTGCTGCTTATATGCAACCTCATGTTCCAACTGCTTTTCTGAGGCCCACACCCCTGGAAGGGAACGATCTTGCTCAACAATCTCCTCATGTGGCTCGATTGGTAGAGGGAGACCTCCTCGTTCTCCTCCTTTTCGTGGGAAGCACTTCAAGCTCTTCATTAGCAAAGACTTACGGGAGGTAGGTATATCAGCATTTGCCCTCAAATTGGCAGAAATCTGGCATGAGAAATGTCAGCTTCAACCCCAGTATCCACACCACCGACCCATTTTCCACATCATCATCATCATCTCGAGACTCGTCATCCAAAAAGGTATTCTCATCCGAATACCAGATGTATTAAAGGTCCTTCTCCAGCTTCTTCTATGCGACAATTTTATTTATGTCCTTCACACCGAGGTCGAGCTATGTTTGGCAATTGCAGGAAAACAACCCTAGTTCCCCGAGGTTAATGTTGCAGCGGAACAAGGAGGTGCCTTTTGCGTCAAAGACGTGTGTGCAACCAAAGACAAACTTGTGCCTCTTTTCATGATGCGAGGATGGAGCCTTCTCGAATCCACTATTTCTTGTTTGGCTCGTCTTGGAGGCATATGCTTTAACCCGTTTGCTCAAACTCTGACACATGACAAACATGTACCGGAAGAAACTCACAAATGCTACCACATTCGCCTCCTTGCAGTGCAACACGAAGGCGGTCATGTAGAAAAGTTTGTTAGGGGCCATCTGACACGACATCAGCCCAACCCAATTGAGTTGTCCCACATGGAAGGCCGTCAACGGGGAAAAGGAACTCGTGCTTCAACGACTGTAAGTGGACGACGAAGTAACTCGAAAGATAGGAGGCCACAATGACTGTATCCTCGAGCCTCGATCACGACATCCACACCGGGACCCGCTCATTGACGGACCTTTCGCCACCCGAACACCTTGCGTCCTGCAGAGTGCCGATGTCTAACTCACCATAATATTTGGTTTGTGTACCTCTTATTTTTGTCTTCCTTTTTTAGGCGGCCTGTGTTGAGCTGTAAGAGCTTGAGAGGGTTTGAATGCAAAAGCTTGAGTGCAAATGAAAGTTCGAAATGCATAAAACAAGAATTGAAAGGAAAACCCTTTGAATTACAAATGAACCGAAAGTAGCTTGACAGTTGTTCAGCTTGTTCTGAAGTTTGTTTTTAATCAATTATAGGGGGTGTTTGGATCTGATTCTTAAATTTGTTTATGTTCATTCAGAGAGCAGAAGCAGAAGATGAAGTGTTTGGATGAAAGTGCATAAGTGATTCTGGGGCTCTAATTTACTCCTAGAATCAGTTTTTTAGAAGCTGGGCAAGACCAGTTTCTGAAAACTGATTCTAATTCTTCTTCTGATTTTAAAAAAGAAGCAAAACCAGAATCAGTTCCAAACACCCTCATAATAGCAATAGTAATTATTACTCCGTGTAACAATATGGCCAGAAACAAAAAAATAAAAGCAACATGTGCTTCCCTAAAATGTTGTCTTTTCTTCACTTTTAAATTATATAACCAAAACAATGTTTAAGAAACCGGACCAAACTGTCACCATGAAGTGCAAGAGAGTTTAAGGTTTGGAAGCAACATTTTAATTTTATTGTTTGCTTGCTATTTATTTTTCATGACCAGGATGCTTATTTTTTTGTTGTTTACTTTTTTTTGCTGTAAGACTCTTGCATTAGGATTGGGTGATGAGAGTCCTACTTTAACCGTCGTTGGCTCATTTATGCCCAATATAGGATTAGCGAGTCATATTGTTTTTTTGAAGGCGATATACTCTAAGTCTGGTTCGAGGGCTGGTGATT